TTAATCTCTAATCTACAGACAGTATAAAGACATTTAAAGCAAATATTTTTGTTAAATCATAAGTGACTGAATTATCATCCTTATAATTTTAATAGATTTACACTTGCCAGGTGGTTTACCATGAGGTCCCAGGAGTCAACCAATTTGAAAAAGAACTAGGGGACCACTTCTTTGATGTCACACCAATCACAACCTCTGTTTCATATCCAATAGACATTCAACAACAACACAATAACAATTGTTGTGATTGGCTTACAAAATTAACCCTGTATAGTACTCATAAGCTTAAGTGTCCCATTCAACCTGGTGTCCCACTCAACCTGAATTCACCCTATATTTTTGTTTGTTTTCATGGTTTAGAAATTTAGATTTTTTCCTTTCTTTTTGATAGACATTATTTGCTTATTTTATGTATGTTTTTTACGTAATAATAGCGTGTGTCAAGAACTGCTGGAGCATTTCCATCTCATCTCCAGCTGACTGGGATGAGATGGTCATTCGAGGTGATCCACTACAGTGATCACCTCGAATGACCGCTGTGCTTGTTACTACTGTTTATGCTATCCCAAAGTGCACAAAGGCAAATATTAAGCACCATATTTGTTATATATCTCATATCTTTGAAACATAAAACAAACCACAGGAGATATCACGAAAAAGTCTTTATTCTGGGGAATGGTTTCATCGTCAAGTTTTGCTTCCCTTCATAACATTTTACACATTGGAAAGCCACAATAATGATAGTGCATGGGTGTCTTCCTGAGTGAAGAGATTTTGCAGAAGTCAGGGTTGTGGAGGTGATCTCTGCCGGTAGTCTGGAATGTGATGCATGATCCATCCAGCCGGGCCCAAGATAGTCACAGCAAACGCACATATGGCAATGAAAGATTGCTGTAAGAAAGCCCAGGAGAACATAAACATAAATGCTTAATTAATAGACATTATGTTCCTTGGAATAGAATTAAACAACTGCATGAAGGATGATATTTGGTGCACATTTTAAGGCAGTGTATCATAGCTCCCAGACCTCTCCTGTCATCAGCTACAGGTTGAATGGAGAGGATTGAACACCTGTGTCCACAACAGAGGGTCCCCCGATCTCAGTGACTCTGCCGATGATATAACCGCAGCCCCCATTTATATCTACCTACCATGATATTCCCTGTGTCCCTCTGCACTTTGATATTCCCATCCTGAGCCAGGCTTTGCAAAAGCCCCTGTGCATGTCCCCGAGGACAGATCAACAGATTTAAAGTGGTATAAACACCGGCCACTATGTTGCAGTTCCATCATGGGATCCCTTTACAGAGGCCAGAGCTTCACACTGACTTATGGATAAGAAATAAATAAATCATCTCTCCCACTCTGCAGGCCGGGGAACACAGTTTGCTTGAATTCCTCGCATTAGGGGCAAAACAGAGACGTATTAGAGATACTGTCTCCTCAAGACAGACATTGTTGCACTGTTTGTATTATTTGTGTGCCAACATGGTCTCCAAATTTGATTAAGGTTGAGCACCCAATGCTACTGGGAAATATATTACAAGAATCCCTGCTGTTGTAGTAAATTTTGATATAGTCAAACAACCTGGGACATCTGCCCATTCAACTTCTACTAAACAACTACTAACAAAGATATTCAGTCCTACCACTGGTCCAATCTTTTCCTTTGGTGGCTTGCTGTAGATGGTTGACCTGTGATTTTCCTGAATGGCTTTCATCATTGTGGACCGGTTCAATGTGAGTCTTCTAAGGACAGAGAACATCTTTCTGGTCACACAGTCACTCTCCTCTACTGTAGGGAAATGTCTCCTCATGTCTAATATACACAAATAGATACTCAGTACTTCCCATCACTGTTCCTGGGAGGAGTTACTTCCGTGGCCCAAAGACACTTATGTAAACATACTGACCAAATTCTCATCAAAATAAGAAATCTGGCCTTGGATGCAGGACTGCAGGTTCAGATTCCTTGAATAGAAAAGAACTCTTGTCACAAAATAGTGATTCTACATTATAATGAACAATTGCAATGTTATTTTAAGCTGGAGCAGTAGAACTTAAGTTAGTTAACATCAATCATTTGAGCCAGTTCTACTTCAGCAAAGTAGTAATACCACAGTGTATAAATACTCTGAAAAACTATGTCACATGTTACAAGTTTTGCATTTAAAATTTTACTAAAGTATCAGCATCAAAATATACATAAAGTACCAAATGTATATGTATTTAGAATATGTACTATTGAATTATAATTATTGATTAACTTGAGTAACTAATAAAACTTTAAAATGATAATGTAACGGTATAAAAAGTACATAATTTTCCTCTCAAATGTACCTTCTTAATTGTTCATGTAAGACATAAGTGTAAACAACTATGGCTTGACTTTGTAGTTACTTATTCAGTGTTACCCCAGTTTTTTGTTATCTTGAATGTATAAAATTTGGTGATTCTGTTTACAGCAAATCTGAAAAATTGACCTTGGCATGCATAAAAGAAAAGTTATATTGTACAGCAGTGCCAAAGAGATTTTGCCCTGCATTAGATGTGTTATGTCGCCCTCAACAGGAGGCCAAAAAAACTTCAAGCCCTGAAGCCCTGAAACCTTTACTAATAAAATAACTTAAAATAATTACCTCTGTAACAATTTATTGTTAAGCTCCACCAAGAAATTCTCACAAAATATTACCTTACAAATATTATACCAATTCAAACAGCCCCCAGCTGCATAGAGTAGGCCTACATAAATGAATTCAATAAACTGGACAGCCAGTGGGTGATTTTAGGCCTACACAAAGTAGGTACTTAGCCTAATAGCAGTTCTATTGAATTCAAATTACAATCGCAATTATAGCCTACTATCAAGATTTGGGCTAGGTCTGTATGATAATCCAGAGGCTCAATATAAGTCCCAATATAAAGTAGCCATGCAGATGCGGGAGGAGCACAACAGCAGGGGAAAAGAGAAAGTGCGGTAGCAGCATAACAGAGGCCGAGTCAGGATTAAACAGGGCTGATGGCTGTTTTCACTTGTTATTTTTTCAAATAAAACAAATCTAATAGGCTAATGTAACAATTAACCTAGTCTATTTAAAAACTCTAACCTATAGCCTACCTACTGTGATTGCCACTGTAGGCCTACTCTTCTCATCTCAGAGGGTGAACAACAGATGTGTGTTTTAATCCAGTCTTGGTTTTATAAGAATTTCTTAAACAAAAATGTGGTCTTTTAAACAGGTAGGCTAAACTGTGAATCATATTCCACAGTCTGTTCATGACAGGACTAAAGTTAAATTAGAATTATTAAATGAATATGGATATGATATTGTAGGCTAGGCTATATAAGCTACATTGCCAAATAAGGTCCTTCAGACTTGGCCTCAGGTGTCTCCAACGACCATAATGACTGCCAGGAGAACTAACTAACCAAGCATGATAACAACCCCACAGAGGTGAAATAACTGGTATTCCCAGCCAGTCAGAACTGAAGAGGCCTCTTGGATGAAAGGTGAAATGTCTTCTACCATGGACAGTTGCCCTTAGTTTTAACCTTCAATGGATACAAGCTAGCCTTCATTGTTTCTCAAAAAGTTGGCTAGGACTTACCATATCAATATCTGGTCTATTAATTAATCAATATTATTTCTTAAGTCCAATTCAGTCAATATTGCCTCTTCACCTCATTTCATACAACATAGGTTGAGGAAGTATTATCTTTTTTGGAATTATTGTGGACAGTAGGCCAAAAAACTAGCGTTTTAATCAAATTCAAGCATGTATAGGCACATGTCCCTACCAATATCCAGCAATAGGTAGGTCTACTGAATTGCCCCCTGCAATCATTTTGGTGAACACAATTAAATATAACCACTGCTGTCAGTGTATTTGGTACACAACTGGTTAACAGATCTTCTTCTCTATAGGAGGCCAATGTGTTTTTAAATTTTGAAAGATTATGTCCTACCCCCTCAAATGCCTCACAGTGGTTTGGTGCGCTGCCTACCTTTTTTAGAGGCTCAGCAACTTTAATTCTAGAGAAAAACTCCCGCTAGGCTATGTTTAATGTCCCCACCAACAGTGACATGAAAAATCCGCCCTTGCATAAATTAGATGGTTTTAACCTTTAACATAACTACATTTTCATGGCCTAAATTCCTGGTATAGCCCATCATGCAGAGACAGACCACATGAAAGAGATAAAAGTTAATGAATAATGTATAAATATGATGTTTCATTGGGGAATGATGTGCATTTTTACATTTAGCCTACATTTACACATTTGGCAGTCCAAAGTAACATACAAGCATCAGTAAAGTAAGATCTACGAGCAACCATATCTTTCTTGTAAGAGCTATGAACGCATACGGCATCGAGGGGATAATTAGGGTATCTAGGGAAAGCAATAATCAAGATGAGCGAATTCTAAGGAGATAGAAGAAGAAGAGAGCCCATAGGAAGTGCATGTTAGGGGTAAAGGTTTAGAGGTTTTATCAAACTATACTTAACTTTCAAACATATTGGCTCACTACCGCGTGTACTCTGATTATGTATCATATAATATATAAGGTAAAACGTAAAGGAAGCTTGATGTATTAACATGTACGTAGCCTACATAACCCCACTGCCACAGACACGCCGCTAGAGGACGCCCGCAAATGTGTTATTGCACAAACCGCTTGGAGTACTGACGGGCCCGTTAACCAGTCCGCGTCCAGCAGTAAGAACCTGTCAAGCTCACGAAAATACAGGAAACTAGGTTATTGTGCTTAAACACTAAAGCCTCGACAGAAGAACGGGGTGTGCTCATCTTATTTAAAATGTCGAATATTTCAAGGATTTTCCATCAGATCTTTGTTGATATTTTTCAAGGTACAGTACTGAACATTTGATTGAAACAACTTTTTATCTGACATATATTTCATTGTACAAATGCACCTTTTTTAAAGTTTCATGGCTTTATTTTGAAAGTTAGAACCGGAAGCGCCGTTTCTTACTCTGGCTAGTTTGTAGCGTTCGATGGGATAGGCCATAACAACCATCCAAGAAGGCGTTGTGCTACTATGGGGAAATACCGAACCGAACCGAGGATAAAAACGGTTTTGGTTTAGTTTTTACTCGAGGTAAATGCTGGAAATTCGCCGGAAAGTCGATGCAAGTGGAAATTATCGCATATTAGCGATCAAATGTGGACGTTGACGTCGAGCCGTGCGTAATGAGCAGAGTTGGAAAAAGAAGGTGTTGAGCTGCATTTTTTCTCTCTCTGCCAGAGACAACTTAGGTCGGAGTACTGCTTAAACTACGAGGCGATACGAAGCAAAATAATGCCCACGAAGCTCTCCACTTTCTGGTAAATATTTTTTGAACGCTCGCTTTTCAACAGTTGCTTCGCATCCTGCTCAAAGTAAATTGCTGTTTCCGAGGGTTAAAGTCAAAGCGACACAGCAGAGGTAGCTTACCCTAGCCTCTTAGGATATGCTACTAATTACAGGGCAGTGGTGAATATGACTCCTCTTGCTAGGCTGTCGCGAAAATTTTGGACACCAACTTACTTCCCATTTTTATCAGCTGAGACAAACAACCCACTTGGTTTTTTGCTCTACAAGCACTTTTAACCAAGGCTTCCGCTGAGCACCGATAGCCCACCAATAGCCCAAAGAGCAACAATAGCTCCGCGTAAACGTAAGGCTAACAAAGCCATTGCAAATGATTGATTTCTTTATGCACAGGTTACTGAAGGGAACATTTATTCACTTATGTGAGGGTAGATCGATAGAAAAGTTTCAGATGAACGTGCATTTTCACTTTGCGGATCAACCTACATGTTGCTGTTTATTGCCTCTGTGTGAGGTAGTTGTTGATAGGTTGTACTGTGGCAACAATGTGGCCTGTCACCTATTGCAATCTATAGCCTACTTGTGGACATAGATTTGTTGGTGTATTAAATTTGTATATTGAGTCCATTTTGCATTTTGTAGGTATCCTTTCTTGTTCACAATACATTATTATTTGCCTAAACAATCCAAATTTTTTATTGATATCCTAAAGGGTTTCTGCAGCAATGTCTATGATATTTGTTGCTGTCTCTGTCTATTTAAGTGTTGAGGAGCCATATGCACACCAATAATCCCGTTATAATCTCACTGAAATTCTGGTTAGACTCAGCATTCTGTACAGCCTTCATCTTAAAGGGTTAAAGACTGTCTTTCTATCTTGTCATTTAGAAAAGGTGTATTCACTGTGCCCTTCAGGAATTAGATTTGACTTTTTACCAGGTTAAGTATTTGTGTCAGTGCTCCAGGGCTCTATAATGACATGTCATTATTGGCGTTACATGCTCAGAAGTCTGTGACTGGCATGAGCTTGCAAGTACTTGCCACAGAGTAACTGAATGAGCCAGATTTTGGCCTGAATTCTGTTTACCCTAGCCAGTTTGATGGAGAACTGGACAAGGAGCATTGACAACTCGCATAAAATAAGCACTTATTGTTTCCTGGGCTGCCATTCATTCTCTGGAGATTGACTGCCAGGCTGTGTTTGTATTGTCATTAGTGTGTGCACACTTAACATTTCTTTATAGAAAAGATGGCCTTGGTCAGTGTTGTTTTTGCAAGCTGACCTAGAGCCTGGCATTCATCTGTTCATTCTTTGTCACTTTAGGGATCATCGTGTTCTTATCCTAAAGGTCTAAAAGAACAGCGTGTGTCAATGCTGATGAGATATTATCTGCAATATCTAGCTTTTTGTTTATGTAGTGTGGCCTCCAGGGCAAAACATTTTAATCAGCTGACAACATAGGCTGCAAAATGCAAAAAATGCAAACCTACGGTTCATATTGTTGGTTGACACAGGCTAATCCAGAGGCTGCCCACCATGAGTCATCATTGTGGAGACTTTTGTTTCCTCTATCTGTCTATGTCATTTCAGCGTGTTGCTGTTTCTAGCCTGTTCTGATTCGTGTAGTTTCCTGTAGCTCTCCTGGCAGAGTCTGTAATCAGTCAAATGGCCTGATTAACTGTTATACTGATTGACCTGACCTGATTGGCAAAAACACTGCAGAGGTAAGCAGTCTGCTTTGCCGCTGAATTATGTCTCTCCAACTATCATTTCACAAAATATGACATCATTATTATTTCAGGGGGAGTCATTTATTTTGTTTTCTTTCCACCTGCGGTCCATATTCCACTTGCACATCTTGCTGTGGGATATGTGCAGACACATCAATACCATGGAGGGCACTCTGGTAGAAAGGTCTGGTTTCTGCTCACTGCAGCATTGCTTATTATGACCCTTTTAGAGCGCCTCTGATTGTATCAAATATCCAAAGAGTCAAACAGTCTATAATTACTGTCTGAAGCAGTATTTTTGTCCAGCTTGGTTAGCAAAGCACATAATGGCCAAGTCTCCCCACAGGTCATTTAACAGCATTTGTGACAGCAAAACTTTTTTATAATATGTTATATCCTCCTAAACTTATTAGAAACTGCAATTATAACAAGAGATTAGTGTACATAATTGGATTGCATTTTTTAACGTAATTTTTCTTTTTTTCTTTGTATGTGAGTCAAGAAGTAATTTATCTATGCATCTTCAGGGGTGAGTGTGACAGGACTTCGTGAGATAATAACATGTCAGAAATGGACCAATAAAAATGCCCTGTTGAAGAAATTATATTGAGGAGCTATGTATTTGACAGCTTTGACACTTAAAGAGCAGCTACTGTATAATTTTAGACAGGAAAGTGTTTGGGGGATTTATTTCAGTGTTTCTACAGTTGCTGCTCTTTCATTCAGGCCTGATTGTGATACTGGCACAGTGATTGCTCCTTCACAGAAGATTAGGGCCTATGTCATTGAGCCTAACAAAGAATACTATCAAAAGGTGGTGATTTCATCATTTCATTCAAATGATTCACAGTGGGACCAATGGAGAACACATTTGTGCCATTTGAGCAAAGCAATTTGTGTGTGTTTTATATTCATAAACTCTTATACAGTTACCAGAAAGGCAAGAAACAAAAACGTCTCAATCATCTGCTACACTGCCTGCCCAAGTAATACTTCACATCACTTTTGATTGTTGAAGCCTTGTCATGGCGTGGAAGCTTCATTGCCCCTGTCACTTTGATTCAAAATGTTGACTGTGTGTGTTTTGCTAGCAGAGCCCTGGTAAAGGGTGACGACCTGTAAGAACCTGCATTGAAAGAATAAGAACATGCTGCCGAAGTTTGGGGTCGCTGACAGGAAAGGAAACCCAGATACCTACCGCTTGCCTTTTCTCTAGCCATGATGAGGAAATACACATAAATCATTGAAGTGCCTTGTCTGTCATTTGAATAATACATCGGCCCTATTCTTGTGCCAAGCATTTTTGCATGGTAGTGTTCTATGTTAGGCTGGGCTTCTTTCTTTTAATCCGCCGCAAGTGGCTGGTTTAAATATAATAAAATTATCCAAATGACCAAGGCAAGGTGATCAGTTTGAAAGTGTGTGTGTGTATAGAGAGATAGATGGGGGGGCAGGGAGTGTCTCCCGTCACCTCTCATTAGGGATGTATAGTCCAGCCCAGCCGGCGTCTGCCCCCCCCCCCCCGTCTGTGACACTGCCCTCCCTTGCTCCCAGTCTGAGCACAATGGAGCAGCACACTGTTTGGTTCTAAACTGCGGAAAAGTGTCTTAATGTTCGACACCAGAGAGATTATGGCAGAGACTCTTCTTATTGAACGGTGTGAGTCAGGTCTCAAGGTAACAGCTGTCCTAAATTATGCTTTTAGAATTCTGCACTGCAGCTGAAGTTAAATTTGGTTCACTCGTTTGAATGAGTTAAAGCCACGAGTCTGCCTAGCTGGGAGTCAACGTATTGTTCAATTGATGCGTTGGTTGCTATGTTTTATTCTGTCTCTGCTGTGCTCCTTTGAGGACAACCCCCCCCCCCCCCCCCCCCCCCCCCCCACACACACACACACACACACACACACACACACACACACACACACCCCTTCCTTTGTAAACAAGACAGTATATATCTCAAGGGCTTCCTCCTCACTCCTACATATTCAAATTAAATTTCTAATTTTGTCCAAATTAATTCCTTATGAAGATGGGGCTTATTTAAAGCAGTCTAATGAAATAATAAAGATCATCCAACAGTTTTATTAGAGTGCTCCACTGTGACTGCTTGGTGAGTATTTTTGTGTGTGGAGTAAGAGGCCGTGGTTTTCCATTGAACCCATGGGATACTGTGGAGTGCTGCTCTACAGGGGGAGACACAATGATTTATTAGTATGGTAGGCAGGAAAAACTAGCAGGCTGAGATAAAATGGATCTCCCATCAAACTCCACTTCTCCATCTGGTTTCACATTGAAGACAGAGGAAATGTGTTTATATACATGTGACTGTTTTTATATTGAGTTATTTAAAGGTCCAGAGCAATGACAATTACTTTTCAAAGTCTCTTAATAATGTTTATAAAAGGGCAGAGCAGAGTTACCCAAGATGTAGCCTAAGTGCCATGGAAAATTGAGAAGCTGTCCCTCTGGTTTGGAAAATAATTAAAATAATTTTGATCTCCAATCAACTTGCTCTTAGAAATAAAGCCAGATATACTCAGATTGTAATTAATAGCCTGATGGCTTGAAAGTATGCTTAATTAATGAGGTGGCCTGTTTTCTGTTAGATCGTAGCCAGAGACAGTACAAAGAAGAGAGCAGGAAAGTCACAGAGCGCCTTCACTGGTGCCAGTGAAGCTATTTGCAGTTGGATGAAGCAAGAGGTTAAGCATGCTTCAACCAACTCACAAGGAATGGGGAGGGTCTGGTGCTGTCAGAGTATGTATGAGGAGAGACTCAGAGATAAAATCCAAAGTATACTGGATTAAGGCAACAAACTTTTAAATGACAAGTCGCCAGGGAAAGCTATTTGCAGTAGCTCACCTCTGTCGCACAGCGTTTTCTGACCGAACCATATAAATTAGCAACCGCCTAAATAATGCTATCTCTTGTCCTGTAGAATTTGCATCACATTTGGTATGTGTTATATGAATAAAATCCTTTTTATCAAGACATTTTGACTTCATGGCAGGAAAAGTGCAGGTGTTACTAATAACATTAATCATGGCCCTTTTGTATTCAAGTGTCCAAGTAAACCGTGACAGTGAGCCAGCATGCACAATTACCAAGACCCTGAAACTGAAGTAGCTATAATTAATTAATTGATTTTCTTATTTGCACATGTGCTATTCCTACTGTTAAAATGCCTTCAGAAACTGTTAATGGACAAAATAACCAGATGGGAATGTCCGGTTTTGGCTTATTAATGAAATACCTGACAAATCAAATGTTGCCCCATTAACGTAAAAATCAAATATTCCGATAAAGCTGTCCTGTTCATTGTAACGTCACCCACAATGGCCTAATACAAACAGAGGTTGAATGACGGTAGGCACGTTTGTGTCATCTCACAGTTTAAATCGTCATATTGCCCTTCTCTATGTGACAGAATGCACTAAGATTGCATTCACACATGACATTTCCCATCAACACCACTGTTAAACTCTGAAAATAGTTTCACTGAACAATAACAAGTCATCACAGCTGCGATACAGTGCTTAGTCTGACTGTACTGACATAAACTGAATAGAGATCCAAAGTTTGAAAACTATCTTAGAGATGCTTCAGTAATAATTAAAGAATATAATAAGCTGCTTGGCTCTAATTGGTATGACCATGGTAAATGAATTGTCACTAAAAATGCAGTATAATTATACACTGCATAGATGTATACACACTCAACTGTGGAAGAACATCCAAATGATTCATTAGACTACAAATGTTTAAACTACTAAAGGCTGAGTGGGTTGTGCCTCTGTCTGAAAATCACCGTACATCTACATTAGATTTGTTGTTGACTGACAGTCAGTGTTTCCTGAGGGCTGAGCAGAGGAAGTCTCTGTTAACCTTAAGTCACTATTGAAAATTAGAGTCAAAAGCCTGAACACACACGCAAACACACACATTTCTGATGAGTGCTGTCACTCAACAGCAATGATTCATGATTGCTCTGAAATCAATGTGGCTGAAACAGTGTGACAGATAGTAATGGATGTCCCTCTGTTCAGCTTCCTTAACATTGATGCCCCCTGGCCATTCATTATCTTTGACAGAGTCCAAACAGTCCAAACTCATCATGTTGTAATCCTTGTGAGATATTAGTCAGCAACATTTTTAAAAGGCATTCACTCTTTCATCTTCTTTCCTCCAGGCATGGCAGGCTGCGCCTGGGGCTTTGAGGACGCTCCAGAGGATCCGTGCCTGACCCACAACCGAGGATCGACAGGAATACGTTGTCTGAGCAGAATGACTCAGCAAGAGGGGGGACCCCCAAATAGCAAGTGAAGAAAAGTGAGGATGGGTGCCAATGGATCCAGCTATCCACACTCATGCTCCCCACGCATAGGGGGAAATGCACAAGCACAGCAAACTTTTATAGGTATGTATTTTTTCTGTGGTTTAATTAAGAACGATCAGTAGCACAGTTCACACAAAGTCAGCTCTGATAGGTGATGATTCTGTATGTTCAGTTAGCAAATGAGACAATATAATTTAGATGAACTGTTAAAAACATGATTTCCCCACTCTTTTCTGAACTGAAGTGGTAAAACTGTATTCCTCATCCCATTTTGGCATTATGCACCACTGCTACACATGCACAATGGGGGTCTACCATGGCCAAACTCACACTTTAGATTAGATTAAGTGGCTTCCATGATAACTAATGGTGCAAGAGGTGAATTCTGTTTGTGCATGAGAGCTCTTGAGCTGGGCCATTAACTCATACAATTGACACAAATGCATTAAAAAGCAATGCCTCAGCTTTACTCTGCCATATAGACAGAGAAGTATTATGAGAGGCAGATATGCAAAGAAGCTTGTGTCCAATGTGGGCAGTTAACCATAATCACATTAAGTATTTGCTATGAGAGTTTAAAAGTATTTTTTTTTTTAAAAAGGTAGGGGCAACTTTATTTATCCCAGAGGGGAAATTTCAGTCTCACAACAGCAGCGATATGTAGGGAATGCTAAATGAATACATAATACATAATGACAAGATAAGGAATACAATAAAAAAAAAAAAAATAGAAATATGTAAACATATATTAAAAACAGTGCCTAAAACAGTCTTGCTCTTCTTACCTCTGTTGTTACTATGTGCTTATGGTATGATGTGATTATGATAAGGCTGCTGGCTATCAGACAGAATGAGAGCTAATCTGGTGTCATGATTTTTGTCCCTGTGACCAGCTGTAGGCTGCTTGTTAGACTGTCACATTTTCTACTGAATGCCATGACAGCTACAGTCTGCAACATTTTGCTTTTCCAATTTCAGCAATGCTGACGTTATTGTCAGAGAACATTGTTGTACTATAGTTGGCACATTTCTGTCTTATCTGTTACTTTGTGTCTGCATGCGCTGAAAAGAGTGTGACATACAGGTTGCATTAGTTTGCATGTGTATACACATGAGGTCACTGTATTGCTTATTTTTAAGTAGCATTTTTGATTGGTTGGTTAGAGATCACTCTTATAAGCCATGTTAGGTGACTTATTTGTTTTTTTTTATTTGACTTTTTACTTGAGTTTTTTAGACTTTTTGTGAAAAGTGAAAGTTTTGTAAGGAGCCAAATAATAATATAAATAAAGAGACCTCTGAGGTTTACTCTGAGCTCTGTATGGTGCATGGTTGAGTTGGCCTGAGCCACAGATGATTCACAGTGTTAGAATGATTACTATTTGGGTCAAACTAATGGATGCTTAGAGAAGGGCAGGCAGAGAGGATCTCCTTGGCAGAGGCTTCCTCTGACGTTCGAGTCCTGTCTCTCAAGCCAAAGAAAACTGCTATTTAGTGTAATTGATTGGGCCCATGTATACGAATGGACTGGAGTTCATTGAGAAGTACAAAGCAGGACAAAGTCCTCCATGAGCTAATTGGTTCTTAGTCTGTCTAAACCAAAACAAAATAAAGGGATTCTGTTTTTTTCCGCTGTTGAACTCGATCCAAATGCTTTGGTAGCTGGGTCAGGGGTAGTGTGTGCTTGGCCTGACTTGGAGCTGGCCACACCACAGGGGTGCTAGAGGCAGATTGTGTTTCTAGCAGTCTGGCCTCAAGAGTGACCTAGTGTTTGGGTTTGGAAATGAATGTCTCACCATAACACCATTTTTTTATTTTAAATTATTTTTGAGTCAGTTTTGCCTTTATTTGACAGCCAGTAGAGAGAGACAGGACTCATGGGGAGAAGGGGAAAACTTCCACAGTTATTTTATCAATGAGAAGAGGTTTCCTACTTTATATCCAGCATATGTTATGATTTTTGTTTGTTTAAACACGTTCCTATGAAGCTAACCTGCATTGTGTGTTCATTCCAGGAACGTCATCCTACTCCCAGCAGGGATATGGCTGGGAGTCTAAGCTATACAGCCTGGAGCATGGCCATGAGCGGCCCACAGACAGGAAGAAGAAGAGTCTTGGCCTGGCGACACTCAAACGGAGGTTCATCAAAAGGAGGAAGTCGAGCCGCTCAGCAGATCATGCGCGGCAGATGCGGGAGCTTTTGTCAGGGTGGGACGTCCGTGACACAAACGCCCTTGTGGAGGAATATGAGGGCACAGCAGCCCTCAAGGAGCTGAGCTTCCAGGCCAGCCTGGCACGTGCTGAGGCACCCAGCTTGCAGCGGAATCTGGCTGCCCTCTACCAGCATAAATACTGCACGGATGTGGACCTCATCTTCCAAGGTACTTGCTTCCCAGCTCACCGGGCAATCCTGGCTGCCCGCTGCCCCTTTTTCAAGACTCTGCTGTCCTCATCCCCTGGCTATGGAGCAGAGGTTCTAATGGATATTGAGACAGCTGGCATTGATGTGCCCATGTTCTCTGCCCTACTTCACTACCTGTACACTGGGGAGTTTGGGGTGGGCGGAGCGGAGGATACCAGGCTGCAGAACGTGGATGTGCTTGTGCAACTCAGTGAGGAGTTTGGTACGCCCAACTCCCTGGAGGCTGATATGAAGGGCTTGTTTGACTACATGTGTTACTACGACGCTCTGCTCAGCTTCTCCTCAGACTCTGAGATGATAGAGAACTGTAATGAGCGAGGGGCTGTGGCTGCAGCACCATCAGGGGGCTCAGGAGGCAATGGGTGCCCCGGAACCCCAGATGAGGACCTTAGGGCTCATAAAGCTATCCTCTCAGCACGTTCTCCTTTCTTCAGGAACCTTTTGCAGAGGCGCATTCGCACAGGAGAGGAAATGACTGAGCGCACATTGCAGACACCCACCCGCATAGTTCTGGATGAGTCCATCATCCCACGGAAATATGTGCAGGTTATTCTCCATTGCATGTACACAGATGTGGTGGAGCTCGGGCTGGTGCTGCGGGGCAGTCCCTCAGCAGGCAGCCTTGGCGAGGTGCAAGCACTGGTGTCTGGGGGCCGTGGAGCCAGCACACGCACCGAGGAGGCCATGGAGCTGTACCACATCGCTCTGTTTTTGGAATTTAGTATGCTTGCTCAAGGTAAGCCATAATCGCACATTAACAACACACATGCACACAAATCAGTAGTACATGACGAAAAGAGAGATGTTCTCTTCTAGATATCTATGGGGTGTGTGTGTGTGTGTGTGTGTGTATATCTATATCTATATATATATATATCTATATATATATATATATATATATATATCTATATATAGATATATATATATATATATCTATATATATAGATATATATATATAATATATATATATAGATATATATATATATAGATATATATATATATAGATATATATATATATAGATATATATATATATAGATATATATATATATAGATATATATATATAGATATAGATATATATAGATATAGATATAGATATATATATATAGATATAGATATATATATATATATATATATAGATATATATAGATATAGATATATATATAGATATAGATATATATATATAGATATAGATATATATATATAGATATAGATATATATAGATATAGATATATATATATATATATCCATACTTAGCGGTGCATCATTATAGCTTCGCAATATGACCGTAAATCTATATGAAGACATACTATCAGATTGACCTTTAACCATAAAAGGGATTTTTTTTTTTTTTTTTTTCAGTGCATATATTTCTTCTCTCATACTGGCTTTAAATAATGATATTATATCTTCAGATAAGTACGACGGAGTATTAGGGCCACATTGAGGAGTAAAAAAAAAAGAGATTATGAGAACTCTATTGGACTTGTGCGTTGGGTTTGAAACGCCATTTCACAGATATTTCCTGAGCTGACTGGTGGCTGTATGTGTGAAGCAGACGTCGATCGCCACAATACGCTTACCTTACTACATGTGTCTTTCTGTTGTGCATTTTTTCTATCTGTCAAAGCAGCAGATGGCCCGACAATTTCACCCACCAACAAGTTACTCGGTGGCTAATTTCATTCTCTGTGTGATACTAAAGTTTCTGTAGTGTCAGCTTCTGTCAAGCTTAATGCCATTATACAACAACAAGTTGTAATGTGCGAAGTTGATGCTTCCTCTGCAGACTGGTTTACTCTCGCGTGTCATGTGAGTGTAATCGTAGCCTTTGTGATTAGAAAATCCCGTTTCATCATATCGCGATAAAATCGCATATGCAATTAATCATTCAGCCCTAATACCAACTGTTATAATGTAGTTAAATAGCCTTCACCATGAATTCCAATGTTAATTTCTCCGTCTGGACTGTCAGAATTAGTGCTGGCTTTTTGTGAATTAATGTCTTGCAAGATATTGGCCTACTTTAATATTCACCCTTTCCTTAAAACTACATTGTGCGTGTTGGCATATGTGCAATATGGCTGTGCAGATCAGGCTATTGTTAAACAGCTTGGTTGACTATGATGGGTGTGCGAGCTGCCCGTGACAGATAGATATAGGCTGGAGGGTTTGTTTGTGTCTCCAGGAGCAGACAGCTTACGTTCTGATACATGCAGCACATCTGAGCTTCTGTCAACAGCTCGTCACAGATCTATCATTACTCAGATGACACTGTCTGTGACTTGCAGCAGTATGCTGGTTTCACGGTATACCGTGATATGCCATCTACATTTGCTTATCTGCTGTATTATATATTTAATTCTACCTTATTAGTGTTCTTATAATATATATGAAGCTTTGTGTCTTCCTGTGCAGAATATTATAATTAAGTGAGTGTTCAACCAAAAAACTATAATAAACATTGTGTTACCGTGATATTTTGTGATACTGTTATCATACTGTGAAAATCTAATACCGTTGCAACCCTAAAGTCTTGACAGAATGACCCCAGTAACATGTCAAAGGTTACAACCATGGTTTGACATGAGGCAGTCATTTTATCACTCTAACCTCCTCTAACACTGTCCACTTTGAACACACACCAAACAAAACTCCTCTTCATCCTTTGCAATATGCAATACTTGAAGCAGTCTATGCATTTGGCCTGCCTGCATTGACTGTGTGGATCCAGAGAGGTTGTATGACTTAACAGCAGTGTTTCCCACATTTAGACTTTACTTGCCCATATTAACGGCTGCCCAGGTATAAATGGTGACCCATTTTAGCATTTTGCAGAGAAACACAGAGAGAGATGTTCTCTGTTATAAGATATTTCCCAAGCAAGGATGAGGTAAAGCAACAGTGAACACACCAGTGCAGATGTCATTCGTTAGCTACCACATTGGTTTCGTTTTGATAGGCTATGTCATTGACAAGCCTTCTCCACATGCAGAGCACCTGCTGCTGGAAACGGAATCGTGGGTGGAAAAATCCAGAAGACGAGTTCTGTGTCTTTTCAGCGACTTTATACAGAAAAACATACTGCTGGGTAAAGTCAGCAGACCAGACATGTTCAGTTATCATATCCTATATCCATCTTATCTTTCATAAAGCCACAATGATGCAAATTAGTTTGTCAAATATTGAAATGGTGGTATGAGATGACGATTTAAGCACACTTTCATAATTTCACTGCCTAAAGCTGTGTAATGAAATCAAAACAGTGTTATTTTCAGTTTAAGTTACAATGATATTCAGCATATTCAAAATGCACTCAGTATACTTTGTTGTAACTCAAAACACTTCAGTGAAGCTGTCTTACAGTAAAAGCCCTCCAGTGACACCTCCTTGCCTTATGCCTTGCTTTCATCAAATTCTCTGTGGCTTTTACTGTGAAGCAGCTGCAGACACACAACATCCTCAGAGGTGTTTTAGCCTCTGTGTTTGCTGTGCTAACACATGGATATATAAAACTTCCAAACTTGAATTCACTGTAAATGTATAGATTCACCAGTAAGCCGATATTGCAGCCCTTTACAAGGTATTTTTGTGTAAACTCACACTCCAGTATTGATACTAATTTAGTATATGGTACAATCTCAATGGGTGTGGATGTTTGTCTATTGAAGCTTGAAAATGATAAAAAAAAAAAAAAAAGCTGTCCAAAGGGGAAGCTGTGCGAACGACATACAGTAAGACATTTCTGCAATACAATGCACTCTATAAAAGTAAACATGCTTGTAGAAAATCTTTCAAAAGCACAGGATTAGTTATGGGCAGCTGTTTAATTGATTGAAGGGCAATGGAGCAATCACTTTTTTAAGACCTGTGCAGTGATCCATATAGCACTGTACACAAACACCATACACACAGCTGGTTAGAAATCCACCTCCCATCCTCCATCTCTAGTGTTTCCTTTCCACCTACACGAACCTACTACGAGGGTCACTCTGGCAGCTTAAGCCGATGAGCAGGCAAATGGTGTCATCCCCACACAACATCACGTCCTCTTCCTTCCCCTCCCCCCTCTCAACAAGCCCTTCTCGAGGGTATTTTTATCCCCTCTCCTCTCTCCCACTGTGCTGCACCGCTCTAATCAGTTCCCATGAAACCTCAATATGGAATGTGGTGAGATGGTCAAAGGTTGACCCGGCGTCATTTTATTCAAGTTATCTTCTTCTATGTTCTGATTTCCTGTTATTACCCTTTTGGAGACCCCTTTATTTAAATTTTGGCCTTACACACTCCAAAAAGTGTCAAATCATCCTGGCATCTGTGAGTTGATCATGAAATGAAAAATGTGTCCATCCCACAGCTGGAGTCTTCAGTAGCTGCCTCGTCTCTTCAGGAGGCAGCAGAGAGGCTTATGTCAGGAGTTTCATATGGAGATAGTGTGACAGATGAGCGGGCTATCTTGCCCCTTAACTGCTACCCTCTGACTGGGGGAAGTTTTGGCCCTTGGAGGTTTTTGTGGAGCAGTTGAGCTCTCTGTCATTCCTCCTTATTAATTCTCAAGATGTGTATCCCTTTATGACTCCATCTCACTCAGATAGCAACCAATATTAAAAGCCTTATTAATTTTTCAAGTGCACCACAGAGATAATTGTTGGTGTGGTTTCAGTGTGTGTGCACTGAAGTGCCTCTTCTTCCTCCACGCTCACTGACTGACCAGTTCTTTCACTGCCCTATCCTGTGTTTTGGAGTGTGTCATCTGAAGTCCCAGTCCTTAAGTGATCATCAGACATCATTTACATCCACAGACTTGTTTACAGGCCTATTGAGTGCAGTTGATGCTTTAAGTGGCTTTGGAGACTGTGTGATCCATAAACAGAGCTCCAAATAACAGCGAGACAAAATGCACAAAATGTGCATAAGTTGGTGTAGTGCAGGGCGGGATGTTGCTGTTACTGCTGTCGTGTTGATATTCTTGTCAGTAAGATGAGCTCCAGTGAATGTGGTGTATCACCCATGGAGAGAAGGGGAGGCAGGTTAGTATTAGATATAATGCTGATTCTAATCTCCAGCTCATAATAAAAGTGCTACGTTTTAAAAGACTGGCTGTTGCTGTGAATTCTAATGGGCTAACAGAGCAGAGCTGTTTGCTTTCCTGTGCCACTGGTCGCAAGTGGGGAATTGTCTGCCTTCGTGCCGTGTGTGCCTGTGTGTCTGCATTTGCAAAGAAGCAAAGGTGAAAGACTGACATGAGCAAAAGCACTTTCTAGAAGACAGACAGCACAGGGACGAGTGGTGGAGATGGAGGCACAGATGTTGAGAATCCATTCCCTCTTCGAGTCAGTTTTATAGCAGATAAAAAAGGCAAAGTGCCTGGGTCCACATTTCATCTACATCAGTCTACTTAACGATGCAGGATTTTCACCCTTCGTTTAAAACACTGTGGGTGTCTGCTTTGCATTTCTGTAACTCGCTATTATAACTACAGAAGCCCCAGAAGGAAAAATGCATCGTGTGTGTGTGTGTTCGTGTTCGCGTGTGTGTTCATCTTAACAATTTGTGCTTGGACGGATATGAGGCATCAGATTCAAAAGCGAAAGCATCACTGGAGCCATCACTCTGAAGTCTGGTGTCCAGTTTCCAAGAGTGTATGTTCAAAGTGGTAGTTTGTGGAGGAAGGGCAGCTTAGATCTTCTAGTTTAAGATAAGAGTTTCCCTGAGGAGCGAGGCTACTGGCCCAACCATGAACTGATGGACAGAACTGCCTGGAATGAGGAAGTTGGCACAAGCTTGTGTTTCAGATCAGAGCAGCACTAACTGGTCGTCAGTCAGTCTGGCTGTATCTCCATGGATGTCCGTTTTGTATTAAACATTATTGATCATAGAAAGGCTGAGAATAAGGGCCTCTGGCACTCTGGTATGTTGGGGTTTGGCATAGATAGCTTGACCTAACCAATCATATGTTAGTCTAAGTGGATGTTAGGGTGTTTAATTCTGCCTAAATGGATCCCTCTTAGAATAAGCATGAGTTTGAGTGCCAGGCTGAATTTTCAAAACGTAGATCTTTTTTTTTTCTTTTTTTTTAATGGCTAGAGCAGCAGGTACATAATTCCCTAAGCCTTCTGTGGATTTTTAATGCATTTTGGAATTATGCACACAAGTGTGTACACATTTGCAAAGTGTGTGTGCTCTTGCATCGACAGCACATTTCCTTTGGCTGCTATGTTTACTCATCACGGTTAAGAGGAGGCAGCTTGAGACTGAAACACATCAAGGTATCAAAGGCATTTCTGTGGGTTGGTGTGTTACAGAGTTAAACCACTGCCTGCTGTTCTGGTATGTGCTCTGATTTAGGAAACGCAGCAAGGAGGATGTGGGGGCTACTAGAGGGAGACTCCCTGGGTCAGTGAATACGAGTCAAAACTACTGATGGTCTGGCAGTGCCTGCAGAATTACTGCTTGTATTCTAATAATCGTTCAGTTGAATAATTTTCAATTGAATTTATTTTCTACTAGCTTTTGTTAAGTATTGCTGGCCTGAATATCTGTAATTGTATTTGGAATATGATACACTTGTGCCCATAAAGAGACGTGATTGACTGTCAATTTAAATTGCTTGTCTCTCTCATTGGCTGTCCCAGGCTGTGAGGACATCGTTGTGGAAAGCCTGTCTCTGGACTCGCTCGTCCCCATCTTGAAGTGGAGCTCCCAGCCTTATGGCTCCAAATGGGTCCACAGGCAGGCCATGCACTTCCTCTGCGAGGAGTTCAGTCAGGTTGTCACCTCAGATGTTCTCTACGAGCTTAGCAAGGAGCACCTTCTCAGCGCAATTCAGTCTGACTACCTACAGGTAAGGACACAGAACGTTACCTGTCACTCTCCATGACATCTGACAATGTGGAAGATACGTTTTCTGGTGTGGAGCTTCAGTAATGGGTGTCTGACATGTTCACAATGATTGCTTGGTGAAAATACAGTAAACACATACACACACACACACACAGATGCATTACACAATCTCTGCCTCGGTCACACACCATACGCATATACACACACCGACGACACACAGGGTCTCCAGAATTGTCTCTTCCCTGGAGGGAAATGCCTTCAACCCCAGAACCTAATCAAAGCTGAGCTGTCATCTGCACAGCCAAGCTACTTGGGCATTAGACCAGATGGTTGAGGTGAAGTGTTGTAATTCAACTACACAAACAAACAAAACAAGCCTGAGCTTTGCCGGGAACATATTGCATTTTCAGCTTACCCTCATTTAATAGGTTCCCAGTTTTGTTCTTGACAATGTTTAACCATGTCCTAATAATACTCTCTCTCTCTCTCTCTCTCTCTCACTCTCTCTCTCACACACACACACAAAATGTCTTTCTTTTTCTCTGTACCTTGGTCTTATTCACAGGCGAGTGAACAGGACATTCTCAAGTATGTTGTTAAGTGGGGCGAGCAGCAGCTTATTAAGAGGATGGCAGACAGGGGTAAGATAATACACACTATAATTACCCTTTGAGCAGCCCCCTAATGGCTCTGAGGAAATTACCCACTTACCAGAGCCCCCCAAATACAATTAAAAGCAATACAAAAAATAGCCAAACTTTACCCAAGTCAACAGGAAGTGGCCTCATAAGTGATTGGTCATGTCATTGTGTGTTCTGACCCAGTAAGCAATTGTTTTCTGTAGGGTCTGTGGTCAAGGTTGTTAGTCCTCGTATTGTAACGGCTAGCAACCTGCTTTTGGAAGCTGAACCACACAGCAGGCAAGGCATTATTTATCCATAATTTGTTAAACTGAGCTCACCTGAATTATGTGAAAAATAGCCAGCAGGTTAAATTAAAAGCATAATCATAGTTACATAAATAGTCATGGTTATATGCATTATATTAAAAGGCGGCTAATGGCTATTCCTGTCCTCATTTACCTAGAGCCCAATCTGTTGAGCGGGACAGCCCACAGCGTAAACAAGAGGGGAGTGAAAAGGAGAGACCTGGATGTGGAGGAGCTAAAGGAGATCCTGTCTCCCCTCTTGCCCTTCATCCGGACTGAGCACATCTTACCTTCCAACAGTGACGTCCTCTCTGACGCGGTCAGTACTCCATGTCTGCTTTTTCTGTGTGCGTATGAGTGTGCACCTGAGTCATTATGACTATCATAAACTGAGCATTGAGCCACATTCTTCACCCTGTTCACAGCTTAAAAGGGGTCTGATAAGCACCCCTCCTTCAGACATGCTGCCCACAGCTGAAGGGGGAAAAGCCAATGCGTGGTTACGGCAGAAAAACGCTGGCATCTATGTGCGTCCCCGCCTCTTCTCTCCATACGTGGAGGAGGCTAAGGTAAGGTTCATTCACTTCTGATTAATGCCGCTTCCAGACAACACAGGAAGAAGTGGATTATTTGTGCCCCATATAGCTATCATCAAAGAGCCTTGGGGAAATTTGTGGACCTGTTCATAGCTCAGACATGCTAAAATAATCCATGCCTGGATGTTGCTATGCATACTCACCATTTTTTTTATAGTTGCCTCCATCATCTTGAATGAAATTCAATTTATGTCCATTTGCACACTTTTCCTAATAACTCATAGGCCTTCCCAGGGCCATGAATATTTATGAACATATCCCTAGACCAGAGAGAGTCATTATTAGATGAAGTGTCAATCAAGTGGAACTAATTTGCAAACCCTCTCAGTGTCCTTGAGTTGCACATAGGACTTGTATTTTTTAGAAGTTCTGGTCTAACTTGCCCTATCTCGTCTACCTGTCCTTAGTCTGTGCTTGATGAAATGATGGTGGAGCAGACAGACCTGGTGCGTTTGCGATTAGTGCGCATGTCCAACGTACCAGACACACTCTATATGGTCAACAATGCTGTGCCTCAGTGCTGTCACATGATCAGCCACCAGCAAATGGCAAGCAACTCAACCACGGCACCATCGGTTGTGGCCAATGAAATTCCAGGTGGGCCAAAAAAAAAATTCTGAATCAAAAAATGATCAGGCTATTATATTAATATGAATATAAAAATCCATTGATGTACATGTTTGTATTGTGTTCATCTTTCAGTGCCGCAGCTGTCGGTCGTAAAGGAGATGATCCGGAGGCTGCAGGAACTGAGACACACAGAGCAGGTCCAGAGAGCTTATGCCCTCAACTGTGGTGAAGGAGCCACCGTCAGCTATGAGCTACAGCTGCGGGTGCTGAGGGAGTTTGGTCTGGCAGACGGCGCCACTGAGCTACTGCAGGTTAGCAGACAGCAGAGTTTGTCTCCAAGGTTAGACAGGACAAACCAGGGCCTACGGCTGGGGCCACACAGACCTCAGTAACGCAGCAGACGCAAACCTTGAACCCAGGCAGATAAATCTTAAGAAGAACTTTTAAAATAGGGTTTGCTTTGGCATCACGACTACGGATATAGATTTGTTGAACTCCTTTTTTGTTGTTTCAGAACCCATACAAGTTCTTCCCCGATGAACGGTTCGGAGATGAGAGTCCAATTCTGGCTCTGCGCCAGGTGGGTCGGTGTCGGGTAAACAGCAGCCCAGCCATGGATAGCATGTTCACAGAGCTGGAAGGGGTAGTAGGCTTCCACCCTCCTTTACCTCCTCCACCTCCCCCCTACCACCCACCTGCCACACCCAGCCATGCTCAGCTCAAGGGTGCCTGGCGACCCCGTGTACCCATGCCCACCCCCACCCGTTCCTTCTCCTACCCCTGCAACCGCACCTTGATCCAGCGCCATGCAGCCGCCAAGCATGGCAGCTCAGACTACTCCTCTGTGCCCAGGCCCCAGCCCCCAGACTGTACCAACCCGCAAGCTATGGGCCGAGTTTTGCTCTCAGACCGGCAAGCGGTGAGTGTGTGTGTTACTTCCTAGAGTCCTTGTGCTACATTTGTGTTTATTCAAATGCGGCTTTATGGTTTGTGCCTGGGATCATGAGTAGCTCAACTGTCAGGTAATGTCACACATTTTTTATCTGTTTTCCGATGCAGATGGGCATGGAGCCTGTTATAAGGGAGTTCATGCCTGACATTGCACTGGGTGTGTCGGTGATGTCCCTAAGGGAGCAGCACATGGCAGAGATGGACAGGGAAAGCCCTCACAGCCCAATGGGCCCCTCAGGCCGCCATCTACCCCATGGGCCCTGCCCTTCCTCCCGCCTCAGCCATGGCCACGGTCCTGGGCATGGTCACTCCTGCAAGAGACACGCTCCCGAACCCAAGCTGGAGGCTCAAGCCGAGTTCCCTGACCTGTATGACTTCTCCTGCCGACCTGCAACCCCGACCTCTGCTCACCCTCTGCCCTCCTTTTCAGGACCAGACCTCTACAGTCACAGCTGCACCCCCTCCAGCTCTTATCCACCCCCCTACATTTCTGACTCTCAGTCCCAAGGTCACTTGCAGGGACGAACTGCCCCAGACTCACTACGTCTGGATGTACTCAGCATGACCTCTCAGAGGCATGATGGAGTCCTTGCCAGCCCCTCTGGGGCCCAGCCTAGAATGGGACACACACCAAGGGGGCGATCAAATGAGACAGACCTGACTCATGGCTTGGGTCATTTACGGTCTCCCAGTGGGAACATGGACAACTATGAGGAGAGGCACACAGGAACTAGAGATGCCCCAGAGGAGATGGTTCTAGCTGGAGAATCATCAGGCCTGGGGCCCCTCCAGCAGCCTCACAGGAACAGTGTCAGCGAAGAGATCACCAGAGACCGCAGGTCACCCAGCAAGCCTGACTACCCTTATAAGAAATCTGCACTTTAACCCCAGTTGAGGGCCAAAGGTTGAGTTAAGAAAAGGGAAAGCGTGATGAGTGGCCATCACAATGGATGGCAAAGCACTAAATGTGTGCCTGTGTATATGTGTGTGTGTGTGTGTTTGAGAGGAGCAGGGAAAAGGGGTGGTCGATGGTTGCTATTTATAGGATCTCTCCTTTTGTCCTACCTCTATCACACTGTGCTATCCATCACACAGTCAAGAGTATGGGAAGAGTAAGAGATGTAGGTTAATTGGCGATGCTTGTAATTGATCTCCGCAAGCCCAAGTCCTGCTGGTTTAGAGGATGACTCAGGCTCTACTGGGATGGATTGGTCTCTTGAGTTTGATTGTAAAGAAAGAGGTTTGCTCTATGCTGTGTGAATCCTGCATGAGGAGGTCACAACACTAGATGTAGCTCAGTTATGAACTGATGTTTTAAGACTTTCTTTTCATTGGTTCTGTTGTCTCTGTTATTTTCAGCAAGTAATGAGGAGATGGCAGGATAAGAATCTTAATTTACACAAGCAAACAATGGCACCCAATGTGGGACAGACAGTATTATGATAAAAATCATATGTAAATTCTTCGGGATGTGTTCTTTTCCTCCCTTGACTTGTATTTCCATTTTTTCCTGTAGCATGCCTATAGCAACCCCTTACTAGTTTCCCTCCTCCTGGCCCTGGTTCTGCAGTGCTGAGGGACAGGCCACAAAAGCAGGAATTGGACCTGACAGGAAGTAGGTCATCAGAGCTCCATTCTCCTGTAACCCAGTCTGATCATTGTGTCAGGCTTTAACTATCACAGCCTCTCAGTGTCTAGCTTAGAGGCAGACAGGAGTATCGCGGGCAGGTTCATTACTGATGCGGAAATATAGGGGTGCCATGACAACTGACGAAGTGCTGGGGGTGTGTTAGTTTTTCAGCTGGAACAGGTGTTTCTGTGTGTGAGGATAACTTTAGTACACACAGGTGTTTAGACAATCTCTGTACTGTATGCTTCCATCTTTAGTCAGGTCTGTTTGTACATATCAGAGTATTTTGGCACGGAGTACGGTGGTCAGGGTGCTGGAGTTCCCTCTTGTTCTGTTTTTAATTCAGTAGCATCAATTAATCAAATCTAAAGCCTTAACCAGTGCTTGGAATATTCAGTTTTAGCTACCTTCAATTAAATATGATGTCATTATATCGCAACCCGTTAATTGCTTATTTGACTGTTCTGTTCACCAAAACCATGTACATACATCTGGCCTCCATCTCACCACCTCATGGGAGATTGTGGACCTGCACCTCCAGCGTTGTTACTGTTAAATATACTGTTAAAGAGCCACAGCGTCTGTAGCTCCAGAACCCTGCGAGTACACACACACAAAAGCCTGTTACAGCCAACAGCTGGCATACAACCTCACATACAAGTATCGTTGCACTGTAGGAGCCACCTGTCTGTTAGCTGAAGGGAAAAGGAACAAATGAATTTTGAACAAAAGGAATCTTATATTGAAGAGAAGTTGGCGATTGCTGGCTCATATCTCCAATGGAAATTGTATATAATGAATTGAGTTCCACATGTTCTGATGAATTTTTAATGGTTTCTATCACATTTTAGTGGTTGTTGAAGGTTTGTGTTTTTACTGTAGTGGACAACACTGTGTACTTGTCTTTGTCCTGAAATCTCACTAAGAATGTGTGGTATAAAACATAAAGATTGTGTCTCAGAATCTATTTTGTTCTTAAATGTTATGCATTAGGGCAGTTTGTTCAATGTTGTAGGTGTTGTGGATTACCATGTTTGTAGAGATGTCCCCCCCGCCCCTATTTTCCTTTACTTTTAAAGCAACAGGAATATGAGAAGGATCTGAAGACATTAGCGCTCAGCTTAGCAGTGATGAAGTTGCCAAGCAGAAAAATAATTTTTCCATCTAGGTTGCTTCATGGGGAAAAAATGCAAAACTCCAGATTCCTCCCCATGTTCATGTTTGGGTAGTTGTTTTATTTTCCTGGACAATGTACCATTGAATAAAAGTCCTTGTTTTGCTCTTTGCTGTAGACAAGTCAGTGCCTTCCCCCGCCTGCGGCCGGGCTTTTATTGGAGAAGTGACTTTGATGTCTATGCAAGCTCTTTTCTACCAGCTTACCAGCCTGCATCAAATACTCCTTTGAAATCTCATGTAGCTTGTTTTGTGTACATAGTGTTATTTAGCACCTTTTGAAACGGAACCATCTGAAATGTGTGATTGCTTGTGTTGAACAGGTACATTGTACTTGTACGGTATCATAGAAAACATGTTTGTAGATTGATATTAAGTTGCATTTAGTTTCACTGAATCTATTTTTCTACTGTCACCTCAAAAGGTGCATAACAGTGGTTAACTTGGGCATCCTCAAAATAAACTGGTTTGATATTACGGAATTCATTTGATCTCAGTTGGGTTGTTTTGTGCACTTGAAACATATGGAGCATGAATCCACATAAAACTGATATTTATTGACACCACTTTTACAAACAAGTTCGTCTTAACTGGTTGCTATCAGAAAAACTCTTAAATGTAAACACACTGGCATTTAGTGCAGTCAAAGTGACATACTGGACACGGGAAGTACACATTATAGACAACGTCATCTTTTTAAAGCATACAGGGCTGCAGCAAAATTTATTTTCTTCATAAATGTTTCAAGTAATCTTTAATTATGAGCTTCAAAGTTAAGGCATCATTATAAATCAACAAAGACATTGGACATGAAACACTAACCCCAAAACTAACAACCCGTCACCCTACAAGTAACACTTTACAATAGTAACTGCAAGTCAGTACTCTTTGCACTAATTGTTCGGATAACATTGGTTGCAGCAAGACCCCTTTATTCAACAGAGAAAATAAGTGTCATCTTCCAAGTGACACATACATTCAAAGCACCATATGAACCAGGCATATGACTGTAGGGTGGCCTCCTCCTTACTGGTATCCTGCATTGGTTCTGCGTCTCTTTCTAGCACGCAGCTCCTCGAAGAACTGATGTACAGCTTCGACTGTGACCATCTGATAGAGACAGAGAAGGAACGGTTCAGGTTTGGGATTTGGATCAAGGGAAAACATTACGGTGAGTAAATACAAATGGATCAAAAAACGCATAGGTGTTGGTCTTGTTATGTTTAATTCCAGCTGTCCTGACCATATTTGCACATAGACATCTATTTCTCACCTTTCCTTCAGCAACACACTGGTCTAAAAATGCAGTGATTGAAGTTGTCAGCTCGTTGAAACCTGAAGGGGGAAACACGATTAATTAGTCTCAATCAATTGCCTCTCCTGTAAATTTCACGATTACATCCTTGGAGGAAAACTGACCGCACATCATGCTCACCGTAAATGACCTCCAGCTGCTGTACACGGTCCATTGAGTTTGTCAGTGCCATCAATGGGTGCTGCCCAAACGGCTCTTCTAGGCCTTTGTTCTCATAGGCCAGAATGGTATCGGACTGATCCATTAGAAACTGCACCTCAGCAGCCACATAGGCTTTCTGTGTATGCAACACACAGTTGAGAACCATGCATTTAAAAAAAATGTGCCTTAGTACTTCATTACACTGTTACATGAACCTGGATCACATGCAGAGCCAACACCTGCAAAGTAGCTGTCTTGTGCCCTTTGCCAAACCATACATTATAATATGAGAGCTAGTATTTGTGGTCTACCTTGCAGCTTGTGCAGGTGCAGAGCTCGGAGCGCCAACTGTAAGGCCAGAACACCGCTCCCTGTCTCAGCCTCTCCAGCCCCTGGGCCTGCAACTCCTTCAGCCTGCACGTTGCAGTTTTGGTTGTGGCCTTCACAGGACTGCCTCTCATTTCCTCGTGCGTCCGTTTGCAAGGGGAACTCCTGTTTGCTGCTTCCTAAGATACACATAACAACAGAGGATGGGTTGTGTTACTGTGTTAAACTGGCAGGAGGCGCAGGCTCATAACACCTGGACTTTGTAAAAAGATCTCCGCGTCCAGCCCTGCAGATTTATCCAGAGAGGTCTCAAGGCAACTGGCACGATGAGATGATTAGGCGATGAAAATTGGCAGTTTACAGTAAGCTGTCCTGTGAAGCCTGGCCAAAGCCGTCTACAGAGCAGGGAGAAGCAGTGCCTCATGGGTCATTTCTCCTCTAATTACCCAGAGGAGGGGAAAGCATGTTAACAGGAGCTGGAGTCTGCTCTATAAGCTGCTCATTGCCCTCCAGCCCCATCTTGTGGCAACAAAATACACCAGCTGCCACAGAGGGAATGTGTACGATGAACTGGGCATTATCCCGATGTAAATAAACTAACAAAGACTGAGTGAGCACGGTGTGTATCTGCATTCATGCTGACAGATGTTTCCTACCTAACAGTAGTACGTTGAGTGCTTCTGATAGTTTAACTGTTTATGTATACCCTCCGCTATAACATAGAAGCCCTCCACAACTGTGATTGTGATTTCATTTGGAGTTAAGCTGTGAAATAAAGAGCTAGCAGCAAGGGATTGGTTAGAAAAGGGGACCGAATGTACAGTATTTGAGTGTTTATTTACATAGGGATAATGCCCAGTAACAAACGGAAGTAAAACTGCAAAGAGTTTACAAACATGTCCTTTTTGCCTATATCTGCAAAACATCCCCATATGTACTACTATGTACTACTTTTTTTGCCTATAAAAGGTTATAGCTTCAAGACAAGTTAAATGAATGGTGGTACAGGATAATGACATCATGTCAGATAGGAGTTATCATACATACAAGCTTCCAACTTGTCGACATCAAGTTGCAATTGCAACTCGGAAGTTCAGATATTTCTGAAAGCTCCGATACATTTGACTTAATAACATAGAAGTTCCAGAGAGCCAAACAAACATGGACACCTCATGTTAGCCAACAACAACTTTTAACTCACACAACCAACTCCAGTCATACGTAGGGCTGGGCAATAAAACAATAATGATAATTATCGCAATATAATTTTCCTCAATAACAAATGTTCAATATATTGTCAAATATTTGATTTAATTCATTAGAATCACGAACGAATTAGCACTTGATTTTTATATTAATATTTATTTTGTTGAGGAAAAGTGATGCAAGTAGATTTCCTAATAACATTTTTTGAAAAAAGATTTTATCATAATTGTTTTGAATATTCTAGCTCAGATATGTAAAGTGATCCACTGTTTGGCATCAAGTGTTTGTCATGTTCTGACCATTAAGAAAAGTTTAACCACACAATTAACCATCTGGCCCTTCAATTATCATTCAGGGGCAAAAATCAGCCTTTAAACTTGAAAGAAATAATGATTTGACATTTATCATGATAATTATTGATATTGAATGATATGTAATTTTTTTATCGTGATAACATTTTTGGCCATATCGCCCAGCCCTAGTAATACGTAGTCATATCGTTAACATGAGAATCTTTCCTGTCTCTACCAGCCATCCCATATGATGTAAATGCGACATGTCTTTAGGACTTCTTATTCACTTTAACTCCCCACTGCCTGTTTTTGCTCGGCAGACACTCCCATGCAAACAGGCAGAGGCCATCATAAGCACTGTTCACCTCACCTCCTGCTTTGTCTGCTCAGCGCTGGTGGACGGTTCCACATCCCTAATTTGACTGGGCTCAGAAGCATCTTC